GCAAGGACAAGAATCGATCTACTCCAAATCGGACCCGGACGCTTACACTTGCATTAACCTCCATGCTAAGAGTCCTCAAAAAGACGAACATGAAAGAAAACCCAAACAAACTCAAATCAAATCGGATATAAATTAGGCCAAAGAAATAAAATAATTTATCTTCAAAGAAGAATACAGACCCTCAAGTTTTTGTCGCACTCCTTCAATTTCATCGGCATTGATGAGTACGAACTCATTCCTATTACGCTCCGTTCATCAGTAAATCACAATCCTTATTGAATCTTAGGCCCTCTAAAATTATAATAAAAAATCGTAAACTATTAATGGTGATAAAGAAGTTTGACTATTTATAAAGCCCGAAATTACCAAAGTTGTGAGTCCATGACGAGCAAGTGTCCTTCCAATGACTCAAGAGGAGATGAGGCCGCACCAAGAGCTGAAAAATTAATGTATGTTCAAATTAAACAAACAAAACAGAGTCAAAATTGAATACCTAAGATCAAGACTTCTATAACTCCAATACTATCACCATGCCATCAAATAGAGCCAAAATATGAAAAGCAAAAAGAAACATGCCGATTGACGTAGGGTTCTAAGTTGATAACACTACAAAATTGACTTCACCATAGCATAAAGAAGCATAGATTTTCACAAATGAAAGAAATTGCTCAAACGGTTGAAATTCAACTGAATAAAGAAGGTATATGATGGATTGGACCTCAGGCTGGTAGGACGCCACGGCGCCGTGTAGGAGAGAGCGCATCTTCGTAGAAATACATTGACGTGAAAATCTCTTTCCTGTAAAAACAAAAAAGGAAAAAAAAATAAATCAACATTGTAGCTAATGTCGGGTATCATGTATAAAATAAACATAAAAAGTGATGAAAAAAGGAAGATACGCCACTAATATTGTATGTTCCAACAGTCCGACCAAAATTTGAGCCTTTTCATTTCATCTCATTTAAGTGTTCCAAAACATACAGATATGAAAGAAAAAGAAAGCTTAGTGAATATAAATGTATATATAAATAAAAGAAGCAAATAAATAAACAACACTTACTTTGCTCCAGCAACAAGTCCTTCTGCAGTGTCTAAGAAAGCTTGAACTCTTTGACTTCTTTTAGGGGCAACTCCAAGTTTCTCTAGAACTATCACCTGAAATGCAAACTAAGCTTTATGTTGAACACTGCACGGGAAAATAAAAAATAACATATAAACAACGACGAGATGAAAGTACCAATTCTTACCATGTTTCTGGTAAAAAAATGACTGAGTGCCATCAAATGGAAACTGCTGATCGAGAATTGACTTGTATCAATAGACAGATACCAAGGGACAGGTACGTTCTTTGCCAGATCATTTTCCCAAACAACCTTAGATGAGTAAAAATCAGATTATCTTTATAAATTATCAACAAAGCCCGCTTCAAATAAATAATTGAAAAATTTTCTACTCACTTCAAAACCAGTCTTTTTAAGAGCGTCGAGACACTGGTGAGTCAGTCTAATATCAGGAAGACCATTACCAAGTTTGATTTCAGCCTGCCAGCAAAGGGAATTTTTTTAACATATCAAGCCAGATTATTGTGTGGAAACACAAATCCAAACGTATGTTTTAAATTATGGCGAATACCTTTATCTGCTGGTGTTCTTTGTTATTAGGGTCGTCTGAATCGGTCATGCACCGTATTTGTTTTAAATTATGGCGAATACCTTTATCTGCTGGTGCTCTTTGTTATTAGGGTCGTCTGAATCGGTCATGCACCGTATTGGTCATGCACCACTCGTATGCAGCAAAATATTGGCCCAGTTTAAGTACCCTGTATATTTCATTGTAGCACCCGACCTGTAGCAACATAAAAGATAGAGGAAAAAATAAAAATTACAGTATAACTTGATTAAAAATAAATAAATAAAGCTCAACTATGTCAATAATGAATTTCAAATTTGATTTGCATTGAGTCGCATACCAAAACCATTCATCCAGTAATAACCTAGCTCAAGTATAGCCTATCTTGAAATTCATCACTGGTAACAGCAGTAAGAAACTCATTTTTCAAGATATTGACAATGCCTGAATATGTAAAATTGCTTATACTTTTTCTATCAACCACGTCTACATTAGTGTTAAGCAAGTCATGGAGCTCAGCCAGACAGGACATTGTTTGTGTAAAGTTGGACGGTGTCCTTCATTATTATTTGCAACTTTTTTTCTCTTATTGTGAAGTTATACCAGCAATAAAGTGAACAAAACTCTAGCACCAGTGCTCTGACTATATTCACGCACACAATGAAGAAAAATTCTCTATACGTGATCAAATATTCTTCTTTATTATCATACAAAATACACACATGAACTATCGTTCATTGATCTCCATTTCTTCAACAATGAAGTAGATCATCAACATTACACACAAATGCACAACCCATTACTCTACCAAAATATTGAAGCTCTATAACAACTCAAAGACTGTAATTCCAACACGCAGCAAAAGGCAACTCCATATTCTTCAACTCGGCCATCAAAATTCGAAAGGTTAAAAAAAATACTCAACTACACACGGACAAATTATCGACGGGCCACGTTTTTCGCACCTGTTTGACGGATTCGGCGATATCAGGCCAAATTCCGTCGTCGGTAGAGACGTTGGCACGAATTAGGGTAGAAATAGATGCACCGGCAGATGAGAAACTCTAATAGAAGAAGCTAGGTTTGTGGAGGAGGATAATATACCTTGTCGGATCAGGGCGAGCCGGACTTCACCGCCTTGAACAGGTGTGGATAGAGTATCGGTAGATCGCCAGAGGTGAGCACTCCGACGTTGTCGTCAAGGATACACTCGCCTGTCTCAGAGCAGAAGCTGTAACGCCCCGTAATTCCGAGTTCAACGTTAAGTCGAAAGTATATCCGGTTAATTTTATTTATTAACCGAGTTAATTCTAGTAATTAATCTCAGTCCGATTATCTAATAAATGGACATTAGCAAATTCGAGATTAATTAATCCAGTATCAACGTATTAATCGAATTTGAGAATATTTGATTAATCGCCGAAGTCGAGTCGCAACCGAAACCGAGCGAGTTCGGTCGATTTAATTTCCCAAACCCTAGCCGAAACATATGTTAGAATGTTAGCATTGGTTTTCTAAGTATTTATCTATAAGTTTATAAGCATGCACACGTACGCAAGATGAAGTGCTGCGCTTAAGGATTAAAATCATGTGCTTTTATTAATGTTTTAAAGCTCCATTATTTTAGTTTTAATTATGCTTATAAATTTAGCATGTTTCATTAGTGGGGCTTCTAAAGTGATGACACCTAATGAGGTGACTAAGCTTGAATTATGCCATTAGTGGACACATGTGGACACATGTCTTTAAGAAATTTAAAGAAAAACTTTAGTCTCCACCTCAATCTCAATATCAGGTCATGTGTCCTTCGGGAAATTAAAGAAAATGTGTGGTCTTCTACTATTCTCATTCCATGTTCATTTACAAATGGCGTAGCATAATAGTGGAGCAAGTTTCACTTAAGTTTACTCCATTCACTTCACAAAATTCAATCCTTCATTTCGCATATTCCATTTAATTCTCCATATCTAGTTATATTATTGGAGATGGCCGAGAGTTGAGAAAGGCTTATAGAAGGAGGAGGTTGGCCGTGCAAGTCCGTTGCCAGAAAGCTAAATACGCACACCAATCACGAGAGCGAGCACATAGAGCTTAGTCCTTTTCCGAGCAATCGGAGGGTTATACTTACCTTAACCTCCTTCTTATGTATTTAAGTTCATGTCAAATAGATCATGCATAAATCATATTGTTCGGTCCATGTTTTAAGTCGTAATGCCCTCGGAAATGCTATTTAAGCCCTTCTCGAGCCGAGTCACTATTTAACAGAGCACTATCGAGCAATTCATGTATATTTAGTCATTTCATGTCATATTATGTTCAGCCATATCATAGTTGCCGGAGGAAGTCGCCGGACGGCCGGCGAAGGGCCGACCGTAGGGCCT